GCCTGCTTCTCCCTCTCCCACTCCCCCTGCTTGTGTTCCCTCTCTCACTGTGTCTCTCTGTCAAATAAATAAATAAAATCTTAAAAAAAAAAAAAGAAAGAAAGAAAAATATCTGCTAGGAGACAAGAACAAATGAAAATATTGATTTATTCTCCAAAGAAGGCTATTGGCAATTTTATTCCTGCGTTTCTGTTATTTTCATATGGAATGTATCCTAATTTTTTTTAATGTTCTAATGCAATGCTCAGGGGGAAATTACTTCTGGAGTGTATACAACAGACACATTCTTAAGCCACTCTGTCTTTGTTAGAAATTAAAGCGTCCCTGTTGGCTGGCTCTGACATTTTTACTGAAATTATTAGAGAAAGACAGATTCAATCACACCCCGTACTAACAGCTAAGGAGAAACACTGCGACTGTTTACGATGAGCAAAAACATGAAGTCACTGGGTAAAGCATCAAAGCGAGGGAAATAGGGTCGCACTTACACCACAGAGAAAGGCAGCTGGCGCTGGTCCCCCTTTCCATGAAGAGGAAAAGAGGGGCGCATTCCACAAGTGCCAATGAGTACAGTGTAAGAAATTCAGTCAACGTAAGAATACAAGCCGGCGGTTTGGAAATCTTCACAATGCCTTACCTCATCGGTGCTGATGATAAGCTGGGACCAGCTGTTCCACTCTGGGCATTTGTCTCTGTCTTCGAAGGTGACGTGGTCAGAGTTCCAGCAACAGTGCTCATGGTTAAACCAGAATCCCTCCGTGCATATGCCTTCTTTTAAGTCTGTCATCCAATGAGCAGAAATGTCTATCAAGCCAGCTAAGGAACCTGATTTGAGGCAAGGGAAGGGAAGGCCAAAGTTGTCAAGAGAAAACGAGGGAAATGGCAGCAAAATAATGGACAAGCCATAAACTTTCCGGCTCCGCCTGCAAACTCTTTCTGATGGTCTGTCTGCTTGATTTCCACCTATCACCTCCAAGACATTTCGCCTATTAAATGCCTATTCAAGGGGCACCTAGGTGGCTCAGTTGTTAAGTGTCTGCCTTCGGCTCAGGTCATCTTGGGGTCCAGGGATCGAGCCCCGCATCCAGGCTCCCTGCTCAGCAGGAAGCGTGCTTCTCCCTCTCCCACTCCCCCTGCTTGTGTTCCCTCTCTCACTCTCTCTCTGTCAAATAAATAAATAAAATATTTAAAAAAAAAATAAATAAATGCCTATTCAAGAGGGGGTTAAAAAAACACAAAACACTGTCTGCATTGAACACCGTGTCTGTAGAATTTCTACATAGGGGGAGCTTGGGGGAGGGCCAAGTGGCTGGGTGGGAGCAAGGGGTGAGTGGATTTGCCTTTTAGCTGATTTACATGGCCAAGACTCTGCTTTACCTCACAGTTGCTGGATACTGATCTCCGAAGACAGTCAAATTTCTTAAAGAGCATTTTATTCTCACTATTTACAGAAGACTGAGAAAATGTGAATTGCCTGCCTTGAAGACTCTTATATGATCTTTGTCTGAGATGGCTGGGGGAAGGGAGCTGACAAAGACTATGGAGAGGAGAGCTCAGCCTTGTTAGCGATCCTGCTCCATGGACGAGGGAACCTGAGCCATGGCAGGAAGGCATTCGAGGCTGAGGGAAATGAACTTGAAAAAGCACATGGAAAGTTACATGAAGCTACAGACATGTCGAAGCCTCCTGAGCCTCGCACGTGAACATCCCAAAGTTTTCATAGTGAGAAAGGAGCAAACAATATTATCTGCAGAACAGCCACCAAAGGCAATTCTGAGAAGCTGAAGAGTGAATGGGGAATTATGTGCTATGGTTAACAGACTGGTAGGGTTAAGATCGTTATAGTACTTTCGATTCTGGCCTTCTCATCATTTCTGTCGTCCAGACAAAGAAACTCTGGCCTAAAGAAATGAAATGGTCTAGAATCACGCTTTAGGGAAATAGCAAAGACACCATAAAATTCACAGCCTCTGAATTCCCAGACTGTTCTTGCATTCAGACACACTGCTTCTATTGTTGCTCTGCGATGCTTAAAAACAAAATGCCCTGTGTGTTCGAGGGAAAGAAAAATATTCACTGGCCACCGAGTGACAAGAAATAACGTTAAAAAGTTGAGGATATTACGCCTACATTCCAACAGGCTGGAGGCCATGTCACGTGTATGTTTGGGTAGGTGCTAAAAGTGTTAACACAGGTTATTTACATACTTGAATAACCTAGTCAAATCTAACACCTTGTTTGACACCTCCTCTCGGCCACTCCCACCTTCTCCGCCTT